GATGTGTTTCATTGCTTTTCCCTTCTTTACAGCCTTTGTTATTCATCCCCAAAGCATAAATTTTGCTTACACGGAAAATTCTAAATGGATTATTAATTATTAGTGTGCACTGTTAAACTGAGAGGAAAATACATTTCTGTAACTTCTGAGCAAAGAGGCAAAATCAGTTTTCTGCAAATATCTCTCAAAGGCTTCAGGGAATGACCTAAATTTCCTCAGTCCAGTAATCCAGTTACCCTGATGGTATGTGAAATCAGGACATTTGGGGGCTGGAAGAGATTTTAGAGATCACTTAGTGCAACATTCTCATTTTACCACTGGGAAACCTTAGATCTAAAGAGAAGAAATAATGTTCTTCCAGTCCATCTGCTTTCTCAGGTACTCACCTCCCTCCCACATGGTAAATTCATTGATCAAATGTAGGCACAACCTACTAGATTTGAAACTGGAGGAGATGCTCTTGGTGTCTATGGAAAGAACCAGAGAATGTGTCTGGTTTTGTGTTTGGTCACTAGATTTTGGCCATAACTGATATGTTTGGGCAAAGATCTGAGGGGCACTTCTGCCACTGTGGCTCATATCTCCTAAAGGCTTTTTGGCAACCATTAATGTGCTGACTCCCTTAATTCTTAAAGGATATAGGTAAGGGTCTTCTGGCCTTATTTGGTTATGACTGTTGAATTGCATACATAAATCCAGTGTTTTAGATTTTTTTTTTTGGTGGTGGGGGGTGGTAGTGAAGGAAACTTGATATTGGCCTGTGTTCAGTTCTGGCCATTTAGGATGACAGTTTAGCCAGGTTCTATTTTATCTTCTTCCACCCTCGCCCCCGCCCCCTCTCTCCTGTATGAGAAAACCCAGAAGAATGCCCCACCCTCGCCCCCCATGACCACCCCAGGTAATTCAGGGCTGTTGAAAACTGCTGTGTTGAACAGTAAGAGTTTGGGGTTGTGTCCTCTTTCATGTATATACGTTTGTCTGTGGCCCCAAGAAGGCTCGCTCTCTGTTTGATGACCAGACTCTGGGTTAGTTTAAGTTGCCTGTGCCAGATTTTTAAAACTAGGTGTTAAGAAGTGCTTTTCCTAGAGTACTTTTCCTGGCAAACCTCAAACATGACAGGCAGACTTGTGGCCTGTGGAGTTGAAATCTAGCAGAGTTTTTTTTTTTTTTTTTCTTTTTTGAGTGCCTTGCTGTCACTAAAAAATGAGATCTGGATTTTTCTTTGTTAGTTAGGAAAAGCAAGTACAATAATAACAAAGCTTAGTCTGTGGTCATGTCTGATGTGATTTCTTTTTGGGGAGGGGGGAATGTCATGTTTTATGGGTGCCCTGATGGAGATCCTAATTTTTTATGTGAGTGCTGGCATGTGGATCTATCCTGTCTTGTATCTTCTTTTGAAAATGAGGTTGTCAAGTTAGTCTTTTAAAATATAAAATTTATCAAAAAATAAAGAGGATAGGAAGAAACTTTTGCAAGTGGTGGATTTATTTATGGCATAGATCGTGGTGTTGATTTCATGGGTGTATACTTATCTCCAAGCTCATCAAATTATATACATTATGTACAGCATTTTGTATGTCATTCATACTTCAGTAAAATGGTTTAAAAATATTATAAGATTTAGAACAATTATTTTGCTCTTAAACCAAGAAACCTTAATGATTACTTTTTCTGTGTCCAAGTACTTTTGTACCATATGTGCATCAGGTCAGATAAATGCCACTTCATATGAAACAACAGTGTAGTTTTTATTGGGATTTTTCCTTCTGGGTTTCTTTATTTTTCTAAAAATGCCAAAGTGCTTTGAAATTATTTGTAAAATACTTAGAGTCTTACAACCTGTAACATGTTTTCGTATACTTTCTTTTACCCTGTTTTGCCAGAATAGGGGATGGAATCACTGAGTGTTGGAGAATGACAATTTAAAAATATTATTCTGATATTTTTATTATTGAAGGCCAGGATGTAGTAGTGTTTTTAGCGAGGAAGCGGGGGTGAGAGGCATAGGGGAGAGAGCAGCTGGTAGACAGACGCACTATATATTTAAAATAATACATCACTTCATACATTGTGATGGAAGACAGATTTTTTTTTAACATTCTATGTAATGTAATGTATGGTTTAGCAAGAACCCTTGTAACAGTGTTTTTTTTTATTTAGATGAATTTCCCTGTTTATTGATGGTGATGTGCTAAAAACAGAAGTGTTGGTTGCAGGTCACATGTTGTGATGTTGACAATGGAATCAGGGCAGGCTTTCCTGACTCTAATGTGAATCAGAATCTTGGCAGTATCTTTTATAATTTATTAGTTTTTAACATGGAGTGCTTTGCTTATGAAGCTTCAGAGAAACAAGGACAATATATACAATTAATTAAAATCTTTAGAACAACCAGCAGCAGCATTAATAAAACATTACCCTCTAAAGCACATAAGAATTGCAGCTTACTCTCCCATTTCAGTGGGAAAAACCAGGATAAAAGAGTCTGTCTTTCATCACAGTCAATAAGCTGAGTTTATTGGACCTGGGCTGGTAGATTTTCAAAGAAATAGGCTCATAGCCAATATCCCACTCCTCCATACGTAAAACATCTGGGTGCTCTCAGCTTCAGTAACAACAAGCACCCGCCTTTATTTAGCACTTACTTCATTGATGTGTTCTTGTTTACTCCTCACAAGAGCTTTGCCGGGTAGATGTTAGGATTTCTATTATGTAGATGAGGAAACAGAGACTCGAATAGGTTACAAAAATGCTTCTCCAAGTGTAGTCCTTGGACCAGCAGCAGGAGCTGTTAGAAAGGCAGCTTCATAGCCCCACCTCAGACCTTCTGAATCAGAAACTTCAGGGGTGGAGCCAACAGTCTGTGTTAACAAGGTCTCTGGGTGATTCTTAGGCATGTCTGAAGTGGAGAACAATTGGGTTCTAAGACTTATGTGACACCACTATGCAGTGGGAGCAGAATTTGAGCCCTAGTGTATTGGATTTTATTATTCACAGGCAATATCTCTAAGCAAGGGCCTCCCAGAACTGCCCATCCTTTAGGCTTGCTATAGGTTTTTTTTTTTTTTTTTTTTTTTCCCCCCATCCTTAACCCCTTCCTTTTCAAATCGCTACTCTATCTATTGTATGTGCAAAAAAAAAAAAAACAATTTTAAGAGGAAGATCCTTTTAAAATCTTTCCTTGGAGAATCAGCTTGTTCTGATCTCATCCTGCTTTATACTATTATTATCTCCTTCCAGAAGGTTCCTTTGAGACTGAAAAGTGACCAGTTCTGGTCATGCCTGTTTGAAAGCTCCTGGGATCATTTATGGGCTTTGCTATGTTTATTGTGTGTCATCACAAGGATAGGATGGAGTCAGATACACAGGTGCTAAACTAGTTCTATTAGCTGATTAATAGAATGGCACTATTTTCATCTCCAGAATATTGGCACTGTGCTAGTAAATTGTGTACACAAGTCACAGTGCTTGGTTGTAGTTTTGCTATTTCCTGGTTGCGTGATCTGGGTACATTATCTGACTTCGAGTTGTGGTTTTCTAAACTGAAAAATAAGATGATGATATCTTATAGATTAGATTTAGTTCTTTGAGAATACTTTGGAAACCAATGGGTGCTCTGCAAATGTCAAGTAATATTCTAGAATGTTCTGAAGAGTGGCTTCTGAGGTTGGGTGTTCTGAGACGTTTGGGGATGAACGTGTATTACCCTCCCTCTGACAGTGCCTGGGTTTGTCAAATGAGTCTCTCCACAGAAGGGAGCAGCGGAGTAAGTGCTGTGGAAGGAGTTCAGGCTGTGGACTCATCCAGGCTTCGCTATGAACATGCTAACTGATCCTTTCAGTTTCATCAGTGAGATGGGTGTCAGAAAGACCTGGTTGTAAAAGCTGTTGTGAGGAAAGAGAGCAGAGTTGGAGACAAAAGAATTTTGGGAGTCAGTGGTGTATCAGTGGGGTTTAAAGCCATGATTGGATGCAATCACCAGGGAGGAGAAGACAGTGGGGCTGGAAGAGTGGTGGGTGAGGATTATGACCCCCAGGGCCATGGTGCTGATGCCTCGTGGTGTAGCTGGGTTTCTGGAAGGCTCACTTATTCCTGCCTTAGCTGCCTACCAAGCCTGCTTTATGGAATAGCTAGAAGCTGCAGAGGCATCACATAAGAAAGTGTTTGATAATCATAAAGCAGGGCTTCCAGAGTTACTGATCACAGGCCCAGACGACTAAACGTGGGTGGCGGGCCAGCCCTCTTAAAAGTACATATACCTGCTCCCTGTGTAGGGGGGAGAGGCGGGGGTAGCAAAGTGAAGACAGTGTTCTTTCTAAAGTGTCTGCTGCTAGTTGGCTCTGTGGATGATTGCCCTGTGGGAATATGAATCTGGGGTTACCGGCTCATCTGAATTTTGAAGAGAAGCCAGAGATCTGGAGTTTTTGGTGACGTCTTCAGATTGACTTAATGATGGCTGAATAAAAAAACAAAACACTTTGTGGCCCAAGTAACACACATCTGTGGGCCAGATTTGGCTGTAGGCTGCCAGCTGGTGGCCTCTGCTGTGGAGTGTTATATAAACGTGACCTGTTATTATTGGATGTCCTGGAATTTATAATAACCTTCCAGGAGCCTTTATGTTGGGGTCCTTCTAGGAATGCATTTTTGCTTTTTTTGCTACCCTCACAACTCCTCACAACATACACTGGACCTGTTTTGGAACAAATTCCAGGGACTTTAAATCTGTGTTGCAAAATTTGAAGAGATTCTGAATCCAGCTGTGCAGGCAGGCTGGGAAAGTAGATGTCCTTAGAGGAGAGATTTGGGAGATTGGCATTATGATTTTTACCTCTCGTCCTGGAAGGTCAGGGCATAGATTGTCTGCTGCTGAACAGGGCCCCAGTGCTTCTTGGATTTGCTGAGCCGCTGGGATAAAAACGATCCATTGCATACCTTTAGGATGTATGTATTGTTCCTAGGAATAGTTTTTCATTGTTTTTCTTAAATTTGTGTTACAGAAAAAAGAGTTTGATGTGGACACCCTCAGTAAATCAGAGCTTCGGATGCTCCTCAGCGTGATGGAAGGGGAGCTCGAGGCTAGAGACCTTGTCATCGAGGCCCTGCGGGTAAGAACTTTCTAGGGCCAAGTCCCATTACTGTGTTATTTTATTTTTTCAGAGGGCCAATGGCAAAGCTTCTTTTTCTTAATTTTTGAACCATATAGATATAAAATGTTACATCAGGTTCAAGTGTGCCCGTCACCCAAACACCAACCCATAACCTTTATAAGCCCAACAAACACTGAAGTTGGATGGTCATTGAAATGATGGGGACAGAAACTAAATTGTTTAATATGGGAAACTTGAGAATTAAGCTGTATTGGTTCTGAAATCCTTTTATGTTTCACATGTTTATTTGGTTAAAGGCATAAGTTTTCAGGAAATTGGTAATTTGGTATCCTACATGTATGTGAGGGCAGTGAGGAAAAATTAAGAGAATCATTTATAAAAGATATTGCTGATAATTGAGCTTTTTCTATATAAATTATAAATGGTTTCTTATTTTCAGAAATTCCTAAGAGTTAAAAACTAAGTGTTTATATAGATACAGAGAACAGATTGGTGGTAACCAGAGGAGTAGGGGGTGGGGGAACGGTGAAAGGGGTAAAGGGGGACATTTGTACAGTGACAGATGGAAACTAGACTTTTGGTGGTGAACACACTGTAGTATATACAGAAGTTGAATTATGATGATGTACACCTGAAATCTGCATAATGTTATAAACCAATGTTATCTCAATAAAAAAAATTAAAAAACTAAGTATTTATCTTTTAGTTTTATTTTTCATCTGATTTTTACAGTAATTTTGAAATTTTCATAATTTTCAAATAACTGTCTTCTAATTTATTACCTAAATACTTCAATAAAGTTTTGGTTTTTTAAAAATAATGTTGTTAAACTTTCTTGATGCAAAACTTTCTAATTGATTGTTCTCCATCTGGTACTTGTTTTAGTCTGTGAGCCACAGTTAAGTTTTTTTCTCTTTTATATTTAATATTTTGTACGTAATCGAGTGTTTCCTGTCTCTTGGTAATTTGACCAAGAGGCATATATTTATTATATAGGAAGTATGGATTTATCTTTTTTCACCAGGGAGTATTTCCTCAAACTTTGTCTTGTCTAGTTTATTTTAACATATGAAAATCTGTGGAATGTCAAAAAATTGTTGCCCCCAGTGGGAGCTTACATGGTGGGGGAAAGAAGTAATAAGGGTGGATGGTTAGTTGTAATGTGGAAGGTGGACGTGCTGAGAATGAAGTTGTACAGGGAAGGGGTTCCTGAAATAATGACTTCAGTACTTTCTCACAAACTCCAGTGGGGATAATGATTATTCCTCAGTCTGATGACAGAGAATGATTGCCTCAGAAAAATAGGAGTAGAGTTACCATTGGCAAGCCAATATTGAGTTGCAGGTGTTGCTTTTTGAATGACAAGCTTTGCTAAGTCGACATTTGCGCAGTTTGGTTGGGAGAGGTTTCATCCTGTTCCACATTTGCATTGCTTGCCAATGTATACTTTCTGGAACAAACTTTGTGGAAGAAATGCTAAGGCTGTGTGTCACTAAAATATGTGACCCTCAGCCTGAGGAGAGAACAAGGGCACAGTCACCTGTGAGGCCAGTTGTGTAGCGTCTTGAGACGACTTGGATGTGAGGCTCCAGTTCTACCTCAGGTGTTTTTCTGTCCCTCTCTGTTAACCTGTAAACGGCATCAGCACTGTGGCAGTTCCCACTGCTCACACCAGTGTTTGAGTGTTTAGTGGAGTCTGTGTTTTTGTGTATCGCCTTAGCAACTACATGTATTTAACTTAATTGCAAAACTTTCGAATGAAAGAGTAGAGGTAAAAGCTTGCTAATGATCAGGGCTTGCCAAACTGAAGTTTTCCATAGAATCAAGGAATGTTGGAATTGCAAGAAGCCTTACATGATATTCTAGGTTAGTGGTTTGCATCCCTATCAGATCTAGTGTTAGGGTTTTTATAAAATATTTTGTATTACGCTTTTACTCTCTGGCAATGAAATTTATGGATAATTACCTGTATAAGTAGATTATGTTAAAAATAACCAGTACATTGCCCTGATTGTGATATAAAGTTAACAGGAGGGTAATTTATAACAAAATATTATGTATTTCAATATATAAATGCAGAGGTATGACTATACTGGAAGACACGATAACGTAGGTAGCTATTGGCACCTATTCATAGCATCGCCATGAATTGCAATAGCTGCAAAAGAATCCTGGTCCAGGTATGCCATATTGCTGACCCAGATGCAGTGAGTGGATTTGCTGTGGGTGAGGTGATTCTTCTGAAATGGTGAAAACTCTTGGTATAATTCCAGACATATTTACATGGGAGTCGAATCCCTGGAAAATTCAGTGTGTGTTAAAACTGAATTTAAACAATTTGTTTATATGTAAAAAAGAGTTACTCTCTAGGCTCAGATAGTCATACTGAAGGTTCTAATGACAGGAATGAACAGAGGGACGTCTGAAAGTTGTGGGGGACTTGGGACAGTTCCTGGATATGTGAGACCCTCTACTCTTTCCCCCTAAGTGCCAATCACTGTGAAAACTGAAAAGGCTCTCTCCTGTTTCTAAAAGGCCTCCCAGGGTACTGCCCCTGGGGAGAACCATGGGCTGACACCAGTCTCCTTTGTTTGTAGATTAAAATCAAACAAGCGAAAAGGAAGCCCAGAGAGATTGTGATTTATCTCAGGTCATGAAGGTGGTGTGCATGTGTACTTGGAGATTCTTAAAGCTTTGTGTCATTTTTTAAAATTGAGAATTGTGGTTGATTTAGATGGTTGTGTTTTTAAGAGTAGATAATATGGTCATTTTCATACACCTTTCATAGCTGTCATAGACTCACTGTGGGGACTTACTGATTGACTATTCCCTTGGGGAAGTCACTGAAACTAGTGAAATATTTACATGGGTCCAGATGTGTCATTTAGTTGCCTTTTCCTTTAATAGTAGCATATAATTTAGTGACTGGCTAATGCCCCAGCAAGAAATTGGGAAGGAGAGAGAATGTGAAACCTTTATTTTCATCTCATATTATGAGATAAATTTCTTCCTAAATTAAAAGTCAAAGTCTACTCAATCAATAATCATATGCTACTATTCAATCGGGAGAGAAGTACATTTTGTTTTAAAAAATAGTCAAAAGTAATATTTCTTTGAATATATTAAATATTTTTGAACTTAATATATTATTTTTTTAGATATAAATATATCTAATTTGTACCCTGAACTTTATTAAAATTTAGAAATTATTCTGTTGTGAGACATTCACATCCTTTAGAATTTTAGAAACTTTAAAAAGATGTTTCAGACCAAGCTGTTTTACTTTTTTAATCACGCTACTCTGATGCTTTTGATTTTCAAGTTATAAAAAGTTGCATAGATCATTGAATTAATGGCAATAGACTTTTCAAAATAATCCACAAATATGATTTTGGGGGAGGGTGTTATGAAATTATAATATCTGTCTTGGTACTTTTACTATTTTCATATTAAAGTAAGAATATTTCCTAATAAAAAAAGTCCGTGACTTTGTAACAGATAATATTCAAGACATTAGTTTTTATTGGGGAGAAATTATATTTTAAAAAGAACAATATTAGTGGAAAATCTGAATTGTCTAAAGCAGCTTAACTGAAATATATTTTGCTTTAATCACATAAGAAATATTTTGTTTCTCAACAATTCCCCCTCATTCACAGAAAGTAGGAATAAATCTTTGAATAAATATATATATCAAATGAAGTTTAGAGGAAGATACTTTGGAGTTTCATTGAGAATGTGCTCAAGGAGAAGCAGTTGCATTTTCTGAAAACCAAGATAGAAAACAGAGCTTTTTGAATTAAATTTGATTGAATATTCAAAATTTAAATATACAACTTATCCAGAAATCATTTGTTCAATGCTAATTGTTTGGTTTGTGGAATCTTCTGGCCTTCACTTTTTCCCTCTTGCTCCCAGGATTTTTATCAGTATCTTAGTCAAAGGGAGACAAGGACAAGAAGATGAAAATGCTGTAATTATAAAATTTTAAGAGTCAAAATTGTTTTTTTTGTACATTTTGCAGGGGCCAGCCTGCTATTGTTAGCATGAGTTTATGTAAATATTATATCATTGAAACACTGAATTCCTTGGGTAATTAGCTCCAGGTTTCTTGTATGCCTTCTTTTTCCTTTTAGATTGGATAAATGAGAATTGATGGTATTGTAGGCATGGCAATCCTTCCTCCTAACCTATAGTCACTAGAGTGACTATATAATCTGGACTTCTAATTATTATTTGCATTGAAACTTTTAAAGATTAGCGAGTTTAACATTTCTTCAGATAGAATGCATTTATGGCACTTGTATCATAGAAGATATCAAATTATAGAATTTCCTTGTACAAGCAGCTGTAACCAAGAGACCCAAAGTCTAATAGATTAAATAAGAAGTTTACTCCTCACATACCATTCTGGAGGTGAGTGATCTGTGCTGGAGAGGCAGCTATATGCCAAGTGGTCATTCAACAACTCAGGTTATTTCCATCTTACTGCTCTCCTTAGGGAATGAGCCTCATCCCTGTGGTTGAAGCTGGGTCAATGCCACTCTACATCCTAGCCTATGGTAAGGGGACAAGAGAGGAAATGAAGGACAAGCAACTTCTAAGCAGTGCACACATGTACATTGATGAGAACTTTTGTGGATACACCCAGTAGCTGCACAGGAGACTGGGAAATGGTGCTGGCTGGCTGGCTACATTCTAGTACCTTGGAGGAAGGCGAGGACTTTGGAGAACATCTAACAACCTAATGCAGTCCATCATCTTGGTTTAATGTTATCTTATGAAGTGCCCTGGAGTGTGATAAAAGAAGACAGATCCTTCTTTTCCTCCTTCCCTCAATAAATATTTGTTGAGTACCTACTATGTATCAGGCACAAAGATAAAAGTTTGAAGTACCTATAAGTGGAGATTTGCTATTATGCTAAAACTGTGTCCATTTAGAAAATTCTTATATGTTGACTTTATATATTTAAAATTAATTGTTCTGAGTAGTGTCA